TTTAACATATTGTCCATCCACTTTATTTGAATAATGATATAACATTCGTTTACCTCTCACTAAAGTATTCTTATTATTTAAATCGATCCCGGTTACGCCGCCGGTCACAATTCTAATCGTGGCAATACTCTGCTATGTCTATGCCTACTTTACTAAACGGAAGTTCAGGAACATCATGTGACTTCAGGCACATGCTCTTTAGCATTTAAAATTCTTATCTTCTTCTTTTCTAGTTTGCTTGTAAAGTTGGCTTGGTTTAACTAACCATGTAGCCACACTACTTAATCAGTACAATACTCCCGGAGTTTTTTTATTTAATGTTAGCAGGATGCTAGTTAGAAAATTTTTTATTTGAATGTCTTGTTGAATTTTTAAAGTTTAGGTTTCATTATATTTCAAAGTTGGATTTCTGTTTCTTAAAAAAAGCTTCAGTAATGGTGGCCATAGTTTGCAATTCTTTTCCATTAGGAGCGTTTGGACAGTTGGTGGTGAATTTAATGTGCTGTTTTTGTTTTTGCACGAAGGCATTTTCTTATTGTAGGCTGGGCATTCTGTAAGTATGTGCTCTATTGTTTAAAACTGTCCTAGTTCACACTTGGTGCAATACGGAGATTCCCTCTTCTTCATTCGAAAAAGCCTTGTAGCATTATATGGATGACAAAAACTTGGTTTACATATTAGAGAAGTGTCAGTACGGCATAGTTTGTAGTTACAAAACCATTGCTTTTGCGGTGTTTTAGGTTGTGTAAGGGTCATTCCATGCCAAATCAACCAATTTGACCATTATGTTAAACCTTGACCTCTCAGGTTTGCTTAATTTTTTGTATGCATGTCATACTAACCAAAACTAATAAAAATATAAATATTTAGATTTTTATGACTTTGGGTTTTTGAGTTACGAAGCTTTAAAAATCCAAAAATCGACGTTTTTGAGCCGCGTTTTGAAATCTTTAAAACTGTATAACTCAAAAACTATTCCACTTACAGAGTTCAAATTTGTGGCATTCTTTTTCATTTGAAATGCCCTTTATTGTGATATGTCACATGCCTATGTTTAAAAAATGTCAAAAATTTTGAAAAAAATTCAAAAACTTTATTTTTAATTTCCAAAATGCGTCTCCTTGAATTTTTTTCATAATAAAGTATGTGATTTGTACCATATCTGACTACATGTACTGAAAATTTCAGAATGGGATACAAATGGGTTCTTATTGAAAAAAATATTTTGTCACAGTGCGCACCCTCTACACATGACAATGGGGTCATGTTATGTTATAGAGACTGGTATAGTAAATATGCACGGTTGTGTTAGTATCCTAAACAGATGAGATTCTGTACATAGTTGTTTTACATCTATTGTTTTTTTAAAGTTACTTAATTTATAAGGCTAGTTAAAATCTAATACATCAGAATTTTTTAATAATTGATGGTTCACCTTGTTACAAATGAGATCTCTTACCTTCTGGTGTTCGGTGTTGAAATTGCATCCGTTGTTAGTGTAAACCCAGTTTAAATTAGGATAGTAGTAAATTCATAAGTTGGTATGTTTTATTAGTTTATTTCTGTTTTTATTAGTTTAGTCATTGAACAGTAGAAGTAACTGCCTAAATATTCATTTCAATCTTCTTATATATTTCTCCAAAGCGATAGAGGACAGTTTCATTTCTTCAGCACTTAAGGCATATGTTCGTCCTGTTTCTGTCGTTGGATCGACTTTTAGAAGTAGGGCATCTCCAACACATCCCTTGGTTGTGGGTACAAGAAGCTACGTGCTGTCCTTTGGGGTGTAAAAAGTTGATTCTGTATATATCAGGCTGGCTCTAGCTGCTAAGAGCTTAACAGTTCCACCAAGACCATCGCAGGCACTCTTACCATGAGATGTGGCAAAGAACTGCTACTCGTCATCGATTCCAAAATCTTGTTTGTGCAAACACAAATTGCAAAAAAAATTTCTGTTTTTATATTGTGCAGCACTACCATCGGAAAAGTAAGTGATCTTTTTCAAATCAAAAGGTAATGTTTGTTTCAAGATTTCAACTAGTTTATTTTGCAACTAGCAATTGCTTCATAGACACCAATGTGGAGAGTCTTTAAACCTACAAACACTGTTTTAGGAGTTGGGCCCAAATTACGTTGTTTACACTCTCATTTGTGTTTTCGGTCATTTCAACAGTTTTGCAGCTGACAGATCCTCATTAACTGGCTTTATGACCTGTATTAAAGCCTGAGGCACTGCTTTCTTATGGGAATAAGATGTTCCCTCAACAAGCGATTTGTACGTGTACCACGAGTGCTTCCCTTTCGGACAGAGTCCGTGTTTGGAACACTGCGTATGCCAGTATAAAGCCCATATGGCCTCTTTAATTTTTTAACATTATTTTAGCTACGCCTAATGGCAAGGCCATAATGTGTTTGCATTTTGTCAACAATGTCATCTGTCAACAGGTTTTTGCCTACGAGCGATTTACCGTCAGACAGCTTTTCCCCTTTCATATTAATTAATATTGCTTTTTAATATTGCGTGTCAGGGTTCTCAATCGGGTCCCCATACGCTTCTGAACATGCCCAATGCACTCAAGCTTGCTTATCGTTGCATCATCATAGATGTGGAGGGCCTCAACAGCATAGAATCCCTTAGAATCCCCATCACCGAGGTATTGTGTATATCTAACATTCCTGTCAAGAGACCGTCGAAATATTTGAAACGCCTCCATATTTCATATTTCAACCTCCATACTACCGCTAGACCTCTTATAGTTAGCTGTACAATTGGTGGAATAACGAGATTTGTTAGAGCATCTAAAAAACGTAGAAAACTCAGCAACTTTAATGTTTGCACCTGTGTCAAAACTTGTAGCGGTGATTACGCCTTTCAAAGAGGTTTGGCCTCGTCTCTGCCATGTGCCGTCAATTGCGACCGCTAAATCTCGACTGCCTTCATTGGCTGCTACAGCCTCTTCCACTGCTCTATCCATTAATGCAAAACAAACATCTTCAACTACAGTACCAAGAAGCTTAGCGTATCTTTAAAATTTTATCGGTGGAGGTGGAAAATCCATTATACCGTAGAAAATTTTTGCGGCTCTCCGGCCTTTGCCTATCGCCCTCAGCCCATAAACTAGCCTAAGATTGATGTCATGGAGGTCCTTGTGTTCACTTAGGCCTACTTGTGGTGTTGTGTTGAAACTGTGACTGAAGCTACAAGTACATTGTACACTTGACGGCAAAACCTAGTGCACTGGACAAGATTTGCATATTTACAACTATATTTACATTTTCCTCTTATTATTAAAATTTTTTTTTGCTAATTAACTTCAGCAACTACAGATTAAAAAAATAAGGGCTTGTCGTTTGAACAAACATTACAGATGAGTTGTCATCTTGCTTTGCTTAAGAAATAAGATGCACCACGAATTTTTCAGAAGTTAAAACTGTAATGTAGATATTATTATGAATAACTTGGTCTGTGTGCTGACATTAACACAATAACAAGTTTTGTAAAATTCTAAAATTTTCTGCTAAAAATAAACCTTACCATTTGTATAGTTTTTAAATGTTATTGATGATTTGTCATATTCAACAAAAAATATGAATGGCCTAAATAATAACTAAACCTTATAGTATGAAAGTTAGTCTGCTTCCAAAACTTTTGTTTTGTGGTCAAACAAAAAATAGCTTTTAAGAATGTTGTAGAAAAAAAATAATGTCAGACTTATTGTTTACTTCTTTTTCCATCTTGCTTAATTTAGCCAGAATTTCAGGCTGAACAGAGTCCACGAATTTTTCAGAAGTTAAAACCGTAATGTAGATATTAATATGAATAACTTGGTCTGTGTGCTGACATTAACACAATAAGTTTTGTAAAATTCTAAAATTTTCTGCTTAAAATAAACCTTACCATTTGTATATTTTTTAAATGTTATTGATGATTTGTCATATTCAACAAAAAATATGAATAGCCTAAAAAATAAATAAACCTTATAGTATGAAAGTTAGTCGGCTACTAAAATTTTTTTTGGTGGCCAAACAAAAAATAACTTTTAAGAATGTTGTAGAAAAAAATAATGTCAGACTTATGGTTTGCTTCTTTTTCCATCTTGCTTAATTTAGCCAGAATTTCAGGCTGAACAGAGTGGCAAGACCATTAAACAAGTCTAAACTAAATGTTTGTACTTGATTCATTTGGTAAATCCCAGTGTACATCCCCGAAAACACACACTGACCAATTAATTCTATTCTGTACTTTACTACAGAAGTGAGATTGACCATCCGTCAACCCTATAGTTGGTTAAATACAAATACATGGCATATTGGCTCTGATTGTTTGTTGTTGTTGTTTGTTTGTTGGCTGATTGTGAATAAAATTTCTAGTTCAAGTCCAAAAAGAAATTCGGGTATTCCCTATTGATTTGGTTAGGCTTGCCTATTACACATTATTAAGATGAGCAAAATTCTAAGCTGGTACGTCCAAGAGATAGGATTGAGCTAAGCTAAACCGGTACGGTCTAGTTATGGGCCGATACAACACCAGAGTGTCCCGGCCATGGTCGGTCTTCACCGCCAACGAAATAAACAAATCGACGACTCGCAAAGTACTCTAACAAAACCCAGTTACCATACTAACAGTGTAACAGAAAACTGCCAAAGCTGTATCAAGGTTTCAACTGATTAATTATTTTAATTTAATCCAAGGTTCAGTGGGAGTTTACACATTTACATTTGTAAATGTAACAATGTAAATGTAAATGTAACAATGTAACAATGTACATTTACATTGTTTACACGTTTACATTTAAGTTTACACCCTATTAGATGAAGTGGTGGGAAAGTTACCAAGCTTTGATCTAAAAATCGTCTTGGGGGATGCAAATGCCAAAGTAGGGAGAGAACAAATTTGGAAACCAGCCATTGGGAATGAGAGCCTACACCAAGAATCAAATGATAATGGATCCCGTCTGGCAAGTCTTGCACTTGCAAATGATTACAAAATTTCCAGTACAATGTTCCCCAGAAGAGACATACACAAGTACACTTGGACATCACCAAATGGCGTGACCAAAAACCAGATTGATCATGTACTTGTAGATCAACGACATAAAAGTTGCATTACAGATGTAAAGAGTATTAGAGGAGCAGAATGTGGGACTGATCACAGTCTAATCCTAGTCAAGGTAAACCAAAGAATAGCTGTTGAAAGGAGGAAGGAAGAAATACAAGAAAGACGAATAGACACCGAAAAGCTTAAGGTTAAACCGATAGCTGATGAGTTTAGAATAAAACTAGAGAATAGGTTTAAGATTCTAGAAGACTTAGATAAAGATGAAGATGTCAACAGTACCTGGAATAATTTTAAAGAAGCAGTCCTAGATTCGGCAGAAGAAGTATGTGGAAAGAAAAAGAAAAAAAGCAAAAAACCTTGGTTTGATTGTGAATGCGAACAAATGTTAGAAGAAAGGATTAGGAGGAAAAATGTTTGGATGAATAGCAACAATGAAGAAGACAGGTTGATGTACAACCAGTCAAATAAGGAGACAAATAAATTCCTGAGGAGGAAAAAGCGACAATATATTAAGAGTTTACTAGATAGGGCTGAAGAAGAAAACACAGCAAACAATGCAAAAGATTTTTACAGGAAAGTAAGATTTTTTAAAAAAGGATTCACCCCTTGTACATGTGGAATAAAGAATAAGGAGGGACAACTACTAACTGAAAGTGTCAAGGTCCTTGAAAGGTGGCGCGAATATTTTGAGGAACTGCTGAATGTTGATGAAATCACCCCGACAGAAGAAGAAAATCAAAACAATGAGGACATTTACTTTTATGTTGAACCCTTTATCGAGACACCAACAAAAGAAGAAGTACAATATGCAATTAAGTCCCTGAAAAATGACAAAGCTCCTGGAAGAGATGAAATAACAGCAGATATAATAAAGAGAGGAGGAAACATAATAGTGGAAAAGCTGTGGAATTTAATTACAAAAATATGGGAACAAGAAGAAATGCCAATGGAGTGGCAGGAAGCAGTCATTATCCCTATTCATAAAAAGGGTGAGAAAGAAGTTTGTGATAACTATAGGGGAATCTCACTGCTTAGTATCCCATATAAAGTTATCTCAAAAATTATTTTAAACCGTCTAGAACAATACTCACACGAGTTGATAGGTGAGCATCAAGCGGGGTTTATGAAGAGTAGATCGACAACTGACCAAATATTTATCTTAAAAGAAATAGTAGCCAATTATTGGGAGTTCAATAAAGAATTTTATGCCTTATTTATCGACTTTCAGAAGGCTTACGACAGCATAAGAAGGGACAAATTGTGGACACAGCTAAGAAAATTCGGCATACCGAATAAAATTATAGCCTTAATTAAAATGAGTATTTCAGGATCTAAATGTTCAGTTAGAATTGATGGCCACAACTGTAACACCTTTGAAGTAAACTCTGGTGTCAGACAAGGAGATGGGCTATCACCGATCCTATTTAATTTTGCCATTGAAGAAGCTCTACAGAAGGTAGCAGAGAAGAACATAGGAGTGAAAATAGGAACCAAAATAAACATCTTAGCCTTTGCAGATGATGTGGTTATAATCACAGAAAAACTAGAAGATCTGAAGGCCTTAACCGAAGTATTTATGAAAGAAACAGAAAAAGTAGGCCTAAAAACAAACGATTCAAAAACTAAGTACATGCACTTTTCAAGATACCTGGATAATACTGAAGAACCAATAGAAATTGATGGCCATACATTTGAAAAAGTCAACAGTTTTAAATACCTAGGAGTAATTATATCCAACCAAAATACTGATGAACTAGAAAGCCGAATAAATTCAGCAAATAAATGTTTTCATGCTTGCAATAAATTACTTTCATCAAAATCTTTGTCCCGGAAAACAAAAATCAGGCTGTACAAAACAATAATTTGCCCAGTTCTCCTATATGGATCAGAAACCTGGAAATTAAATAAAAGAGATGAAAAGAAACTAATAGTATTCGAAAATAAAATTTTAAGGAAGATTTTTGGACCAATATTCGAGCTAGGAGAATGGAGAATAAGACACAATAGGGAATTAAGGCAACTGTATAATAGCACAGATGTAATTGGAGAAATCAAGTGCCGAAGAATCAGATGGGCTGGTCATATATTAAGAAGAGATGAAGATTGTAGACTGGGAAGAGTTTTAAAGGGAAACACTACAGGAAGACGACCCCGGGGAAGACCTAAGCAGAGGTGGTGGAAGCAAGTGCAAGAAGATTTGGAGAGAATTGGGGCAACGGAGGATGATGCGAAAGACCGGTTGACTTGGCGAAGATTTGTTGGTGCGGCCAAATATCACCTCCGATATAAATGGCCCTGGGAGTAAGAGAGTAAGTAATCCAAGGTTCAGAGCCTTAGAAGCGCTCAAAAGATCCCATAGACGCCCAATGAGGAGCTACCCAGATAGCAAAAAAAAAAGGTTGCAGCAGATTTTTGAAAAGTTGCCATGTTAAATTTTAAGTTTTGCAACAAGGTTTTCATGGCAACAATGCTCAAAGTTGTCAAGACAACAATGCAACAAAGTTATCATGGGGCAATTTTGCAACAAAGTTGTAATGGTTAATTTTGTGGAAACTTTTCCAAACTGAGTTTCGAAATAGATGTAAATAATTAATTCTATATTAAGTTTGTGACGAAATAATACTGAGTAAAACACGGTCTATAAAATGTTTTTATGAGCCAGAGAAAGACATTTTCTAATGTGACCGTAAACTACTTATGATATGTGAATGAAAACCCTAAGTGAATAAATAGTCAGGTCAGTTATCAAACACATTTACTATATCAACACCATTTTTAGTTTTTACAAAAATTACTAATGAATTATTAAACCTCACTACGCAGTTTACTAACATTAATATAATTGTATACAATATAAGGATTCAAGACTGCAAGATCTTTAATACTTTGAGGTACTTTATTCAATTCACTATGCAATACAGAAACAGAAAATATGCGGTTTTCTTATATATGAGTAGAAAACAAACTTGTTAATTGAGTCCTAAAACATGTCATCTTCTTGTTGGACAGCTTCAGTGGGGCTTCCTTATTTTTCAGCAGATTTCTCCTTTCTGCCCTTAAATAAAGAATAATATTAAATAAAGATAACATCCTCTTAACGTTTTCCAAAGAAAAATATTTATTAATTATTGTCTATTGATTTTATACCTTATTAAGTACTAAGGCCATATTTTTGTGGTTAATTTAACCTGATTATATTATAAGTTTGGAGAGTGCGAGTGAGCTTGAATTTATGAATCATTTACTCACTATTCCTTGCTTCTCAATTGGCAGAGAATGTAAAAGTGAACTATGTTTCTTTAAATCTGTCATATATGTATAAACCCAAAATTATTGATTTTTTTATATAAAACTTATACAAAAATGTACTTTAAGTTTGTGCTTAGAGCCTTTTAATTATATATAGTATATTATACTTACATAAAGCTTAAGGATAACAAACTTTTGTGAAAACTGTATGCTAAAAAACCGCATGCTTGAAACCCGCATTGAATGGAAGCCTAGATATGAAACGCCTATGGTTTGTTTAATTTTTCCCTGAGTTAATAATCTTTTGCTTCTCATTATAGATGTTAAGATTACGATAAAATTATTAGTTTTGATTCTTGAACACACACACTTTTGATTTTTGAACACACAGTTTAGTACAAATGTACAAAAGTTTTTGTTAAATAAGTAATACGTATGATTTGAGATTTTCCTGTATAATTTTTATGGGGGTATATCAAAATGTACAACTACGTTACATAAATAAAGGTTGCATCAATACATCATTCACAAGGGTTTTCCTCTTGGTGGTCAGCATTGGTGTTGACTTCAGGGTTTTCAACCTGATTTTTCCTTTCTGCCCTAAAATAAATAAGAATTAAGATTTAAATCTCTTAATGTTTTCTGAAGACAAGTATTTTTAATTTATTTTTATTGACTTTATACCTTATTAAAGACCAAGACCATATTGTTGTGGTTGATTTAACCCGAATATGCATGGAGAGTAAGTAAGCTTGAATTTGGCCAACTAGTCACTCACTATTACTGTGATTCTAAATTAGCAGAGAACGTTACGAAACAGATAAAAGCTGTTTCTTTAAATGTGCTGTATGTGTATATATTGATTTTAAAAACAAAACTTTTACCAAGGTACTTTTATAAGTTTCCAAGTTTTTGTTTTGAGCTGTTAAACTAGTTCAATTAAAATGACATGCGTGTTTAACTGATTCGAATATTATTGCACTTATTATAAAAATAGTTACCTTCGTGTTGATCGGGTCTTGGCTTGGTTCAGCCACATTGTTGAATGTTTTTTTTTTTTGGAATAGCCTCGCAAAAACCATCCTTGGAAACCCTTCTAGTAGCAACTGGAATTATAGAAAGTTAAAGTTTTGTTTTACTTGGTAATCGGATCAGTTGTAGGCATCGCGAGACATTTGCATATATAAGACTTTGCTGAGAGTGTTTAGAGGTTGAAAGTGAATTGTGAGTGTTTGTTTATTATTTATTACTTTGGGGTAGCTGTGTTACTGTGTGGTTAGAGTTGGGAGACAACCCAACACATGGTTAATCAACTGAGGGATAACAATTGATAGGTCAACAATATGATAGATTTAATGCTGAAATAGATTTATGTTGTGAAAGGAGTATCGAGTCTGTCTTCGGTTTATTTTATTAAAGAAGAAATAACTTCTACTAGTGAGGATGGTACAATTAAAGGGAGAGCAGAACCATTGCTAGATAGGCTGTTTAATTTGTTGGGGTGTGTGGAGCATGATAGCATAATTAATTATTGATATAACTGCCTTATTTGTTAGTAAAGAATTTTCATTTTATTGTTTTAGCGTTTGGAGCTATTAAATGTATCTTAGAGGCAAATAGAGCAAGTAAAACAACACAGTGTCTAGCTAAAGTAGAGAGAATTTAACATTTGTTATAATAGAAGACTAAATACAAATTTGATTAACATACTCTTCACACCCAATACATCTCTAAGGGCAAAATTTCCATTAACTTTTGTTTTCATAGCCTAAGCTACTGACTCTGAATGAGATGATATAGTTCGGTAGTAGCGAAGGCCATCTTTTTCTCTTCTTTGTAGCCTTTTTTTCCATTGAAGGAGAACAACTGCCCCAGGTTGTCGGTTAATGCTCTTCTCATGACATTAATTGAAAATGTTTTAATGTCTGCTCCTCCAACTGACATAAATAGCTTGATCTGTAGAAAAATTATCAAAATCAAAAACTTTTAATAACAATTAATTTTAAATACAACACATTATCCCATCATTGTATAGTTTGTAAAATATGACCGCTGCAGCTGACCTGCTAAGTGAATTTCAATTTGTCTGGAACAAGACGTATTTATTCCCCATGTAAATAACATTTTAGATTTAACGTTTTAGTTAGTATTAAAGTTTTAATGTGTGCTGCAATGGGGGAAGTAAAAAGTCTTTATTTTACCAAATGTTATTAGTAGAGGATGAATAAAACAAATTGCTAAATTATATCAAAATTTATATATATTATTATATCAAACATAAACAAGATTAACTGCAACCGTTTTTTTTCTTCATAAGAATAAAACAGGAATTTTAAATGTACAAATTTTTAAATTGTCTCAATAAACATTGGCTGCATTGAAAATTTGGTCGCTATCATGTTTTAAGGGTGGAAATTTGAAATAAAAACAATTTTCAAAATTTTAAAATCCCATAACACTCCTTTCCCACAACCTGATCTTACTGTTTTGCAAACTACTTCTAGTTTAACTCGCCCAAAACCTTCAAGCCAAACTTAATCAAATTCGGGTCAAAATTACTTGAGTTATAGCTTTAATGGACTTGTATACAGGGTGTCCCGGAACTCTCTCCTAATATTTTAGGACATTGCTCCTGGGTAGGAAACATACCTAAATATCATATTTAAATTGCCCGGAAGTCCTTAGTTACTCACACAGCCGCCATTTTTTTTAGTTATTATTTTTTCTAAAGAATGGTTAAATATACGAAAATTTGCAAAAACATTTATGACAACTAGACAAAGCTACCAAAAAATTATGACGATTTTTCAAATTCATAAAACAAAATGGCGGCCGTTTAAATTTTTGTTTCTTAAATAACTCGAAAACCGTTGATTTTACCAAAATTTTACAAGGATAACTTTTTTAAGGCAATGTTATTACAAATCGATCGACACCTTGATTGGACGAGTATTAACTGAGATATGGCAGTTTTTGTGACACGTGACCGATGGAGGTTAGTTGCAGCGCATGCTAAAAGCGGTCACGTATCAATTTAAATATGATATTTAGGTATGTTTATTACCCAGGAGCAATGCCCTAAAATATTGGTAGAGAGTTCCGGGACACCCTTTATATAAATTTGAACTATATTGTTTTTGGCCTCTGGGGACGTAAAAATATAAAAGTAAATCGATCCCGGGCCTAGGTCTTACCAAGCCATCCAAGTTTGCTAACATGTGAGAAAAGTGTATTATAATATAGATTATAGTATAATCTTACCTTAAGTTGAATGTATGTAGGACAGGTTCTTAATTTGTTTCTTCCTAATTAGACCTAATAACCTAAATGTAATGGTTGTAGAACTAAATAGAATATCTACCTAGATTAAATAGTTTTCTACCTTTTAAACTCAAAAACAATTTTGCTTGTGAATTACTTTTCTGAAGGGGTTTCTTTGAGTTTTCCCTCCAGAGTTTCAAAGTCAGTTATTGACTTAATTGGGAGGAGTCTGAGAAGTTCTGCCTCCAAATCATTTTCTACAGCAATCTCGCAGGCTTGGCTCTGAGTCCTTTTCAAATCATCCAACTTCTGTTCGAGTGTAATTTGTGTCCTGAAGATATCAGCAACTGAAGCCCGTAGTTGCAGCATCCACCGATGCAATTTGTCAACTGCAAATATAATAATAAAGTTACGGTACTATTATTCAAAATTTGAAGCCTGTAGTCATGAGGAAAAAAAGGTATTGAACAAAAACTTTCCAAATTATTTACAAATAAGTACTTTGAATAAATTTGTTAAATTTGTAAGGCCTGATAAAACAACAACATTATATGATTTATTTAAAAATCTTATTGGACAAATAAGAATATAATTTGCTTACTTTTTGCCAAAATTTCTTTTGCCGATTCGCCATTTAGAGGTGAAAGACGACCAGCAGTTTCTGGAGAAAAGACTGAGGTCCTCCTCGGTTGTTGAAGCAATTTTGTCTACTTTGAGCATAAAATTCAGTAACTATTATTATCCCATGTTAACCTTATCACTATTCATATTTAAAAGGAATTACAGAATTTTGTCAGAAAGCATGAGTATAACTGCAGTAATCATTTTATACTTTTATGCCAACCCTGTACAAAGGAAGGGTACTCTGCTAGTGTTTAATAACTTGCTCATGATACCATTAGAAGTTTTGATAAATATGGATTCAAAGCAACTTAAAACAATTGACAACAGTTTATTTTGTTACACTTTTCCAGCACGGCTTGTAACAGGTTGATTGAACACTTTTTTCCGTCTTCAATATCAGCCACAAATCTTCTTACAACTTCAGTTCTGTGAAGAACTTAAATTCTTAATAATCCAGAGGTTGTAATTTTGATGTTGTATTTGCTGGTAAAAACTGGACCTTTACCCATTTGAGCGATTTCCTGTGGAGTCATGTCTAGTAGATGATTTATATAGCTTTTAAAACACATCTGATGTTTTACTATTTCAAGTTACAAGAAATTACAAACTCAAACAGGCTAACTGACCACTCGTGGCGAACGAAATTTAACAGTAAATAACGACTTGTACAAATTAATTAATTATATTTGTAATTAAATTATAGCACCTGAAAAAGCATTTAAAACATAAATATAATAATCCTGAAACTAAATAATTATAACACTTACATCATCACAGGAGCCATGCAAACTCGTAGCCAGCAACCCCACTAGTCAATGATTTATGTAAAACTTAACGGACTGATAATCATTGTGGACCTTGGCCACCGCAGGTGGCGCTAAGGGCGGGGAATTCAAATTAAATCAATATAGGCTTTAAAACGTCCTCAACAAACTAGGTACTGGCATATTGTACATAGACACAGATAACCTTCTACATGGACACAGACTGTACATGGATACAGATAGTCACTAAAAATAATAAATCAACGATTGGAAAAATGTAAAAAAAACACTCTAGTAGCTCTTAAGCTTTCAAAAATATCTTATTAGCTCTCTGAAAACATCCTATTAGCTATCAAGCTAAACGAAATATCAAAACATCCCTAAAGCGTAAAAAGCAACACCAAACTACAGGGAGAGAGCCCTGTATAATATCCTTTTAAGTCTTTCAGTGGAGTCATGTCCCGTAGATGATAATTACATCTTAGGAGATAACAGATAATCACACTTCCATCAGACTCCACTGAAGGACTAGAGAAAAATTCGAGTTATGAAGGAATTCGACTTGTTGAGGTTCGAGTTATCGAGAGTCGACCTTATGAAGTCAGACGGGTTGAAGCCCGTGGGTAATAGCTAGTATTCATTAGTTTGCTTTTAAAACAGCTTCCTGAATACAATAAATGTACAGTCTTTACAACACAAACTCAACAAACTTCAGCAAACTTGATGAAGAAGTTGAGTTCCTATAATTTGCTTGATGATGTCTTGTTTTATCTTTAGCCACTAACTTTCTCATCCATCATTTTTTGATCTACTGGAAGTGTAAGCACTTTAATTGTTTTATCCTTTAAAATTGAAATTAATGTGTCAAAGTCTTGTATGTCATTCCGGTACTTCAGTATTAAACGGAGGCCACATTTTGTCAGCGCGCTGCGGCGGTTATGTTAGGTTGGGTTATCGTAAATATTATGTGTGTAGGACTTTCCTAGCTTCGTTATGAATCGAACGATACTTTCTATTATGATAACCCAACCTAACATAACCGCCGCAGCGCGCTGACAAAATGTGGCCTCCGTTTAATACTGAAGTACCGTCATGGCCTTCTGAAACTACCTGATCTACTGTTCGTTTATGGACTGTGTCCGACATCAGAATAGTTCCAGTATATATTTTTTATTTGGGGAAATAGCTGAGGCAATCTGGTGGTTAAAAGAAAAAAATATAGTTTTATTTCTATATTGGGTAAACATAGTTTTATTTCTATATTGGTTACTTGGGATCTGATAAGTGAAATTTTTTACTTGTATATGAAGTCGGAAGTAGTGTTCCAAATGAGGTTTTAAATGTGCAATTATGGCTTCTGCATCATGTTTCAGTGAGGAAGACAGCGCAAAACCCTTCTTTAACATCTATCTTCCATTTCTTCATACTTCCTAACTAAGTCACCCAATTTGCATATAATTAGCTCTTTTGATAGAAGTTTTACCTCTTTCTTAGAACCTGATTTCACATTCTAGACGATTGCCTTTTTTGCATCCGCTTCTTATAGCCCGCAACATTCTTATAATCAAAGCCTCAATGCAAAATATTATTATGAGCACTTTTTTAACGTTTTCTAGTGAAACACTCGTCTGCTTGTTCAGAACAAACTAGTACTCAAATAACTTCAATACACGTGTTTTCTCTAATAATCCCGAGCCGGTTAAGTAGGTGGAATACTCTTCATCTTCCCAAAACTTAAAGATTATATATCTTATATGATCTTTGGTGTTGGATGTTTGCCTTTCGTAAGAAAAAGTTTGCAAACATTCTTTTGTTTCACCAAGAACTCTGTTTTTCTTAACTACTCTGCCTTGAAGAACTTTTGTGAAAATTTGTTTCTCTTTTTGAGTTTTTCTTAAATAATACCTTCAGCTCTTCAGTGATGGCTTCAGCATATAAAATGTGTTTCCTAACCTGATTAGGTTCCTTAATACTTCCTAGCATCTTTTTACTTTTTATTTAGGTGTGGGCTGTTAGTCTTTTTCTTATCTTTAAGTAGTCTTTGGTATCTCTTATTATACAGTATCTTTTATTTATTTTTTTGTAACTGGTAGTCTGTAGCTTTTAGTTTATTAATTTTCCTACAAGCCGCGGTCTTAGCTCGTTTTACATGTTTTCGTCCACGTTTCTTTTGGCTGCTTTCTTGCCTGACAATTAAAGGTATGTTTAATGGTGAGTGACTACTGTCTACATCTGGCGGCAGCGTGAGATTTTCACATGCTCTTTCATTCTCTGCTTAAAACTTACAAACGCTGTCGCCTTATTTGAGTATTAACTTTCCACCGTTTCCTAGCTTGCCGCTTCTTCCATTTCACTAACCAATTTTACTTTTCTGTCTCATTGGATTTTAAGTCGATTTCATGTTTTAATTTAAACACCGCTAGTTAGCTATTAGCATTAATTTAAGCACCGCTAGTTAGAGGCAGTTAGGATGTATCGCAACAGTACAATTATCTTTCCCGGACGTACGACTGAACGGCTTATAAAGGAAGCATGACCGCGGTACCAGCCTTGAGGTTTGATAACGGCCACCTGCTACACAACAACATATTTTAGAGATTTATACTTAAAATACTTTGCAGTCAGGTCAAAAGGGGTTAGGTAATTTTTTTACATTTCGAGGTTTTTATCGCTTCTGCTTCAAAAAATGCACCCTTTTCAATGGTACCAACTGTTTAAGTAAGACAAATTTGCTTTTAGAGATATTCCACTAGATATTAAGGAGCTAAGTACGATTGTCATGATAAAAAAAAGGAATAAGTCAGCTTAGCCCCTATTTACCAAACATTAATTGTGATCTAAAAGTGTTTACAGCCATAGCTCTTTAGAGTCAAACAAAAATAAGGTACAACAGATTTCAGTCTGCCTTAAATCCTTTTGATCAAACTAAACAACATAAGGTCTGAATAAGTCAGACTTAAATCGTGAAGTTAAAATAACAAAGGTATTGGGTTTAGTCTGGTTGAACTCCTTTTGAGGATTACATGTATCAACATAATATTATTTTTGTTAAATTATTTTGTACATAGTGCTTACTAAGATTAAACATAAAATTTCAATACCAGAACACAGGTTAGCTAGGCTTCTTTATTTTTACTCCTTGTAAAGTAACAGCTGTTAAGATAAATTAATACTCTGTGTTCACTATTTGAGTCTGTGTTCTTTGGTCTTTGCCTAACCTAATGATGTGTGAAAAGTGTGATCCAGTTTATTAGGTTATACTCAGGGTTTGGCCTAAACGTTATCTTTTTTTACTTATCAATGCTTTCTACCAATTATTCTGTTTTGAAATGTCAAGGGGCAGGTATTTGGCTGAATTGGGGAAAGCGACGTATGAAGGTAAGAATCAATGGTCATAGTACTGCCTTCTTGAAATATTAATACTTTAGGCCAAGCCTTAGTTTGGCTTAGCTAAGTTTAGATTAGTTCCAACTTTTAGTTTAACAAGCTATTATTGTTTCAAACATATTTATCTGCACAATAAAGATGGTGAAATTGAAATGTAATATGAATTTTACGTTATTTTTTACATTTCTTACAACAGTTCAACTTATCACAGTTCAAACTGCTCGCTGTAAGAAAATTTCATCCTTATTAAAATCAAGTTAAAGTCAGTTGTTTTTTAATGTTGCTTAGGATACAATCATTTATTTGTGTTTCATTTTCAATGAAATCAATGGCCTAAGACAACCCGCCCTAATTACAGACACCTACCTAATACCGGTCATTGATATTTAATTATTATTTTCCCATAAAACAAAAGACTGTTATCAACTGAGTAAATTTGGTTTTATATAAGAGTTTTTGACTAAGCACTGTTAATATAACCCTCATTTGTTATCAGGTAAGGATGAAGAATAGGAGATCGACGACCGGTATTAGGTAGGTGAATGTAATTTGGGCGGTTTATCTTATAGATTTTTACTTTTATGTATGTGATAAAATAATATTTTCTTTTGTTGTTTTTTTTAGATGCAGCTCCGATTGATGTTTAGAGCCTGCCAGTTTTGATAATGGAAGAAAACATTGATATCCAGCATTTGTCTGATATTGGTGTATTGGTAGATAACGATGTTCCTGAGAACAAACAAATGATTGCAATTGGTGACAGGCCTAATCCTAACAATATAGATAACGATGTTCCTGAGAACAAACAAATGGTTGCAATTGGTGACAGGCCAAATCCTAACAATATAGATAACGATGTTCCTGAGAACAAACAAATGGTTGCAATTGGTGACAGGCCTAATCCTAACAATATAGATAACGATGTTCCTGAGGACCAACAAATGATTGCAATTGGTGACAGGCCTAATCCTAACAATATAGATAACGATGTTCCTGAGGACCAACGAATGGTTGCAATTGGTGATAGGCCTAATCCTAACAATATAGATAACGATGTTCCTGAGAACAAACAAATGGTTGCAATTGGTGACAGGCCTAATCCTAACAATATAGATAACGATGTTCCTGAGAACAAACAAATAATTGCAATTGGTGATAGGCCTAATCCTAACAATATAGATAACGATGCTCCTGAGAACCAACAAATGATTGCAATTGGTGACAGGCCTAATCCTAACAATATAGATAACGATGCTCCTGAGAACAAACAAATGGTTGCAATTGGTGACAGGCCTAATCCTAACAATATAGATAACGATGCTCCTGAGAACCAACAAATGGTTGCAATTGGTGACAGGCCTAATCCTAACAATATAGATAACGATGCTCCTGAGAACCAACAAATGGTTGCAATTGGTGACAGGCCTAATCCTAACATAATAGATAACGATGCTCCTGAGAACCAACAAATGGTTGCAATTGGTGACAGGCCTAATCCTAACATAATAGATAACGATGCTCCTGAGAACCAACAAATGGTTGCAATTGGTGACAGGCCTAATCCTAACAATATAGATAACGATGTTCCTGAGAACCAACAAATGGTTGCAATTGGTGACAGGCCTAATCCTAACAATATAGATAACGATGCTCCTGAGAACCAACAAATGGTTGCAATTGGTGACAGGCCTAATCCTAACATAATAGATAACGATACTCCTGAGAACCAACAAATGGTTGCAATTGGTGACAGGCCTAATCCTAACAATATAGATAACGATGTTCCTGAGAACCAACAAATGGTTGCAATTGGTGACAGGCCTAATCCTAACAATATAGATAACGATGCTCCTGAGAACCAACAAATGGTTGCAATTGGTGACAGGCCTAATCCTAACAATATAGATAACGATGTTCCTGAGAACCAACAAATGGTTGCAATTGGTGACAGGCCTAATCCTAACAATATAGATAACGATGCTCCTGAGAACCAACAAATGGTTGCAATTGGTGATAGGCCTAATCCTAACAATATAGATAACGATGTTCCTGAGGACCAACAAATGATTGCAATTGGTGATAGGCCTAATCCTAACAATATAGACAACGATGCTCCTGAGAACCAACAAATGGTTGCAATTGGTGACAGGCCTAATCCTAACAATATAGATAACGATGTTCCTGAGGACCAACAAATGATTGCAATTGGTGACAGCCCTAATCCTAACAATATAGATAACGATGCTCCTGAGAACCAACAAATGGTTGCAATTGGTGACAGGCCTAATCCTAACAATATAGATAACGATGCTCCTGAGAACCAACAAATGGTTGCAATTGGTGACAGGCCTAATCCTAACAATATAGATAACGATGTTCCTGAGAACAAACAAATGGTTGCAATTGGTGACAGGCCTAATCCTAACAATATAGATAACGATGCTCCTGAGAACCAACAAATGGTTGCAATAGGTGACAGGCCTAATCCTAACATAATAGATAACGATGCTCCTGAGAACCAACAAATGGTTGCAATTGGTGATAGGCCTAATCCTAACAATATAGATAACGATGCTCCTGAGAACCAACGAATGGTTGCAATTGGTGATAGGCCTAATCCTAACAATATAGATAACGATGTTCCTGAGGACCAACCTCCAAACAATAAAAGAAAAAAGGAGAAGGTCCATGAGTTAGAGGAAAACGAAAAGAAAGAACAAATAACAGACATGAAGGCAAAGACTACGTAACAGTTAAAGGAAGAGAGGTTCAAGAAAGAAAATGAGAGGCCTGAAGGATTGCAGAATGGAGCGTTCGAAAAATTTGAACGATGAGTTGCGAAAAACCATTTTTGACGAATATTGGGCGCTTGGATCTTGAGAGCGAAGAGTCAGTTTATTAGTAGTTCAATAGATGTTGAAGAAACAAAAACTACTAGGAAGAGGTAAAAAAGTTCAAATAAAAGAAGAGAAGTAACGTTTCTTTATATAGATTTCAACATCAAAGGTCAACCTTTTAAAGTTTGCAAGGGCTGTTTTTTTTTAAATACGTTGGATGAACATAACAAATGTATTGCTTTAACAGTTGCAAATAAAATGCAGTCAACTTCTGGTACAACAAAACCAGATCAAAGGGACCGTCGATCTTCCATAAATAAACATTCTCAAGAAATTATTGATGGTGTGATAAATCATATTAAGTCGTGATGGGTCACAGGAAAAGGGACCTTATGATACATATTGTTGAAATTGAGCTATTAGCATTTCTGCATAGAGGGCATTTATTGAACATTTGGGTATTTTAAAATATTTTTATCTTAATAAGTAAGAGAGTTATGTTGTTTTTAATTATTAAATAATAAAAACCTCCGTTTTCGGTAAATTGCGTTTCAACTTTCTTCATTTTAAAACTTAGCTAAAACTGAGACATTTTCATTAATACTTACATATTTTATATCAAATTATTCAGAATTTTTCTTATAAATAAAGAAATGTTACCTAGCAACATGAAAGTTTGTTTACCACATTTTGAAAAGGTAAAATAAGAATTAGTAATTTTTTATTTATTTGTCCACAAAACATACAATTGAATAGAACAAAAAATACATTTAATACTAATCAAATTTCTGAAAGGCTGAAATGCCTAAATAAATGTTTCTTATATTAGCATGTAAAGAAATTAATACATGTTGTTATTAATTTACATATTATTTACATAGGTATGTACTTAGGCCTAGTTTTGTTTAGGTCAAACTCTGATACGGTTTTTTTTATCATATCTTTATAGGCCTTTCTTTCTGATTCAACTCGTCTAAGTGTTCTTGAAATTTATGAAAAAACTCTGCTTTATCTTTATCGCTGAGTTCACGAAGCTGTGCGTGAGAGGTATAGTTTTTTGGCATGTTGCACATAGATCACTTTTTGGCTTCATGATAACGATGTCTGAACAAAATGTACGCCAGATCTTTAGAAATGTTGTCCTTCCAGCAAAAATTTCATTATTATTTACACAAATGTCCTTATATGTTCTGTAAAGAGAAACTTTAGTATCTGACCATGGAAACTGTTTTACAATGTTGTACTGTGAAGCGAGCCTGCCAGGCATGAACAACGCAGCCTCCTCTGCATAGTTTCTTATAAAAGATACAATGTTCTCAATCTTTTCTTGATGACAGGTGCGTTTTGGTGTACGTTTAATGTTACCTTAAACAGGAGGTGTCATGCAATTGAGTTTGTAGTGTTTCATCAGCCATTTAAATCTCTTTATTTTTATCGAGTGGACAACAAAAAATAGTTTTTTCACAAACAGGAACTCCTTTCAGAGTAAACAACATCCTCGCTCTCTGTCTTTCCCTGGAAATTGTAATTTCCCCTTGAACCGGATCAATTGTATGTGTCATCCCTCTAAACTCACCTACAAGGTGGCTAGGAAGTCTCTTCGCCGGGCCATCAACCGGAGCAAACGAATTATTATAAAAACCAAAAATGTGAAACAAAAAGTAAAAAAAAATTATATTTCAGATGAATATTAACATAATATAAGTTTATGATTACATTCATATTTTATATATTAATTAAATAAACAAAGGTACCTATGTATACAATACGTAAAGTGAGGTTATGTCGTTTGGCGGGAATGGTTGGCGGGAAAGCAGATGACAGGTAAGGTTATGTTACATATGCAATACGATCCCGGTGGGAAAGTCACAGCTGATTTGCCTAGGGGTGTTACGGGATTGAAATGGCGCATTCTGATTGGTCCCCGCATTCCCCGCGTACCCCACTATTGCTATGTCCTAAAAAAATCAGACCATGACTTTGTGGACACCCGGTTTAATCATTTATTACTAGCATAGTACCCGTACTTTGTAAGATTTAAAACTATTAAAAGAGGTTGGAACTACTTCTTGAATGTGTTTTATCCTACATCATGGGTCGATCTAATACAGGGCTTACGATCTGATATTCCAGCTGCTGCAACAAGGTCTTCTGACAATTTCGGAGATTTACAAATCAGTTCGCTGTACCTGTAACCTGTAAATGAAGGTTTTTTTGGTTTGTGGCTGTACTAAAGGTGTTATGGTGTAATCTTTAGCCTGGGTAACTTCATCAGCAGCAGGATGGGCAAGTCCGTCACATAGATATCCTTATTAAAAGGGTATATTCAAGTGCATTTAAAGCTGGATAAAATGTTTGAAGGCGTCATGGCTAGAGGATGTGCTCCAGCGACCACTGCAGGAATATCATACCCCTACTATAATGGTTTCCTGGGTTCGAGATTTACCACTCATAACAAGGAGAATTAATATACTACTTCTTTTTTGGACCGTATATTGACCTGTCACGTGGCTGCAATTTATGCTAGCAATGTGGAGGAAAACTAAGCATAACAATACCATTATCTTTTGAATAGCTAAGGCCAGCAATGCTCAAGTAAACATAGATTATCATTGGAGCTTTTAGCATATTTTTGAAAGTGCTTGAAAAATAACTGGAAGTCTTCTTTCAGTATCCACCCTGATCGATTAAAACTTTCTCCACTTCCTGGAGGTACATTTGCAATGAAATGGTGTTTGACACGCACTCTCGGAAACACCAATAATGACGGAACACTGATACCTCAGAAATATTCCACACGCCATAATAACCAGTTTTCCCTATTCTGCAGTCCGGTGACAGTCCGAAATACATGTCTGAAGCCTTGAGGATATAATCCACAAAATTTTCCTCTGTAGCTATGCTAAAAACTTGGCGATCCTTAATACAGCCCACATGTAAAGATGTAGGTATATAAAGACTTGACTTTATATACCTACAGGTGCTACCAAACGTTATGTCATCGAGAGTGTTTTACTTGGGTTATTATGAATTCCCAAACCTATTTAAAATTGTATCATAAAATTACAGTTTAATGATAGCTAATACATTTCCGCTTTTGACAAACTTAGCATTATTTACATGAACAGGCAGTCGATTTAATGTGTTAAACTATGTTTATATTACATCGAAAAACAGCCCCGATTCTCTTATATACAATCTTTAACATTCATACAATCCGGAACATTAGTTTTTTATTTTAATTTTAATGAGATTAAGGAGATGAGGTTAGGGCATGATAAACAACTTCAAAATTAAAATCTTATAAATTAAACAAATACGTAATGGAGTTATAAAAGTTAAATTGATGTTTTGAACTTACTTATTTGCCATCGAGTTTATTAATTTTTTTGGCGAAACTTTCCAACTCTACCACCTGGTAGTCTCAGTTCTTTAAAATAGGGTGGTTTGTTAATTACAAACACTCTATGTTCATAACACTCAGAATTGCACATCAACCACTCACTATATTTTCTAAAAACTACTTGTTTGCATCTACACCAATTTTTTTCCAACACTTGAGATTTTACACAAACATTTGTTTAAATTTTTGTTTAAATTTTTGTGTTACAAATATTTGTTTAATATCACTTCACGGGCGACGACCTGTAGGTTGCGTAGGAAATATCAGTGCAATCAAACGCTGAAAATGAGGGCCGACGGCCGAAACTGCAAGTAAATCCTATATTTCTTCGTCATGTACGCCACATAAAAACAGATTTTATGTAAATACGTTTCATTTGATGATAAATTCATTATTTAGATGTTAATGCTGAACATTTTTTTTGTTTTTATTAAAGTCGGCCGAACTATAAAGTTTACTGTTGTAATTTGACACATGCCTCGACGCGGTGACGGCATCGTTAAGGCGTAGGATCCTTGTCATGTTATTCTGTAAAGTTTACGTGTTTTAAAATTATGTCTTCAATCTTTTCTAGATGACGTGAAACTAAAAACCAATACAAATCAACGAAAAAAATCAAATGAACGGGTGCATTAAGTGTAATATAAGTATACTTACACCCACTAACTTACTGGAAAGCATATCAATCGTAGGTAGTTGCTATTGACACATTTTAATATTATCATTTAAATGCTTTGGACCTTAACATATTCTTATATCTCCATCTAGGCTAGGCCTTTTAGACTTTTACCTGGGCAAAATTAATAACTAAGCAAAACCAACTGGAATGTGTTAGGCATGCTTCCCAACTTGAAAATTCCCAACTTTTACCACTGTAGCGAAATCCGCCATCGTTACCGTTACCGTTACCGATACCGGTTCTTCATCGTTGCCCAGCCATAGCTGGATAGATTGCGTTAAATGAAAAAATTTAAATTTTAAAACTCTGTCTATATACACTATATACACTATATACAAGGCGGTGGATCATGATGTCCAAACTGAGTCAGGGGTTTCAAAAAATTCCCTGATGGAGTAAAGGGGCCTAGTCTTCAACTCCTTAGACATGTGCGCTACGAACGCTTTCACTGGCAGGCCTCTGATCTCAACACTGAGGCTATTATACAGCTTTATGGCCATAGTGGGGAAACTGTTTGCAGTCTTACTGAGCCGATGGGATGGAAGGTCAAGTTGGCCACGGTTGCGAGTATTGCAACTATGAAGGTCACCCCTTGAGCTAAAATCATTCAAGTTTTTCTTTATGTATACAACACTGTTTAAGACGTACTGGCTAAACAATGTCATAACTCCCAGACGCATGAAAAGAGGTCTACAGTGGGCGTCAGCTTTGCTAGAAGTAAGAATTCTGATTGCCTTCTTCTGGAGTTTGAAGGATCTCCTAGAACCAGGTGCATGACCCCACAACTGCAAACCGTAGTTCAGATGACTATGGAATAGGCCATAATACACT